TAGATTTCAACTGTTCTGCTGAATGACTGGTTTTAGCTCCTGTAAGTGAATGAACAGATCCAATGCTGCCAGATGACAGCCTATAAATGACTGACTCATTGCTGCATAGACAATATATTGTATTTTCAATTTTTTTGCTTGAATATTCCCAATGCTATTATATTTAGTAGTTTGTATTCCATTTTGCTTAAATGAAAGTTCATTCTTGACAATTCTTCATTTTGTTTCAATTGCTGTTGCATAACTGCTGTGGTTCTGGTCCCTTTAAGGATGTTGTGGTCACTGCTCTTTATGAAAACTGAGCCTCCACCCTGGTCCTCACACTGCTGTAAATTGAGGTACCACAATGTTTGTGGTGTATTTAATGTGACATGTTGGCATTTCCTTAACATCCACACACAATTGTAGACAAAAAGTGACTGAAAATTGAATCACATGTCTTCAATTATCTTTAATTACTTTGTTAATAAAATATCATATTTGCAAAATTGATCACAATGCCACCAGCTAAAGTTACACACACTCAGCTGAATGATAGTTAGTTAGCTTTGTAAAATGTAGTAGTTCCAAACTGAGTCTTTGTATTTCAGAACCATTTATAAACTGTAGGTGTCAAAATTGCATAAACATTGGAATTTCAACATTGTGCCAAACAACACCGTAATACAATGCTAGGTAGCTTCTGATTCACACCGTACAGTGTTGAGTGACCACTGCTCTGTTTTTATCCTCCACATTTTAATGATGTAAACCCTCAGTGCTGCTTGAAACCCCTATTCTATTTTGAAAATGCAATTAATAATAATAATAATAATAATAATAATAATAACAATAACAATAATAGTAATAACAAAAATAATAGAATAAATTTTAAAAAATAAAATAAAAATGAGAGATTTCACTGCTTTTCTTTTTTGCATGTAAACCACATTAGACCAGGTCCAAATTGAAAATGATATTTATATCATATCTATATCTAGACAGGTCAAACCTGGATTACATTGTCACATCACAACAAAGGTTCACAAGTCTTTAAAACGCCGTTTGTGAGACTTTTATTATATTTGGAAGAGTGACAAAACATATTTTGCTTTTTAAAAATAGGCCACATTAAATCATGTCCCATTTAAACCACTATATGTAGCTGGGTCAAGCTACACATTGTGCCAGAGTCTTGAAAACACTCTCAGCTTTGTGAAAGCTTCATTGCAGTTGTGAAAATGCAAATAAATAAATATATAAAGTAAGATTTTACAGTTTCTCTTGCATGCAGGCCACATTGGAACAGGTTCAGATCAAAAACTACACTGATAGTAGATTTCACAAAGTGTTTACCTAATAACATGTGTGACACTGATCACAATCACTGAAATGTGATGAAACCGGTTCGGTGATCAACTGCCGAATCGGAGGCATTAAACCGCAAGCCACCTTCAGTGAGCTTTATCACACACACAAAAAAAACACTAGCACGCATTAAAACATGCTCTTCCATATGCTGCTGGTTAGAATAATCTTTAAGCTGGCTGAGCGTAAGAAGCGCACCGACCAGCAGGTGGGGGTCGTCGCAGCTGCACAGCAGGCTGGGATCCGACGAACGACAGAAGAAAACCAACAAGGAAAACCAGGAAGCAGCGCGTCAATTCTCAGAAATGCCAGGAGCCTATCGTAGCACTGGACTGTATTTGTCGCATGTAACGTAGCTTCAAGTTAGCTATTTCCGTGAGTCATGAAGACGTCAGATTCAAAGCCAGCGGCGGCGCTGACGGACTGCACATGAGGAGGCAGCGCCGGTGCGTGTCGCTCTAAACAAGGAAATGCCGAAGGTTGCTGCCAGACGTAATGTTTGTGTGTTTAGCACCGTGGCGGCTGTCACGGCTCTGCTTCGGGTGATGCTGTAGCGAGGAACCGCCTAGCTGTAGCTGCTCCGGCTGAATGAGGGGGTAGAAATGGAAGATGTGATCACTCTCAGCTCAGACGACTCCGATGTAGAAATCGTCGGCGGCTACAACAGAGTGGCCGCCGACCCGCTGCCGCTGTCGGCGGTGCGGATTGACGTTGACGCCGTGAACGTGAGGATCCCACCGGTAAGCAAACAGAACGCCGTGTTGTTGTACAAACTAGCTCTGACTGGCTGTTAAAAAAAAACAAACAAACGTTGAAATATCGCTGCGTTTGCTTGAAAAATGAACAAGAAAAAGAAAAAAAATGAACCGAAGCTCTCACCACAAAGATGTGGACTGACTGCTCATTCAAGCCGCCCTCAGTCGACGAGCTGAACTTCACTTTTAGCTGGATATTAGCTGGTTTGTTAAACTAAAGCTACTTATCTAACCTCTAACAGTCCTGCTCGAGTATGCTTTAGCAACGTAAGTATTGTAAAATAATGTTCTGCTGGTTTTATTTGGGCTCTGTACCTGTTTACAGGAGCAGTACAGTGTGTGACCTGATTACAGAGCTGCTAGCATCACATGCTATAACATGACCCGAACTGAACTTCACCACTGTTTTATTATGTGATATTTAATGTGCCTTTTCGGTAGCATGTATATTTACATGCTTCATAGTTTGTGCTACTGAATATAACACCTTTAGGATATATTTCACATACTAAACAATAGTCAACATTGTCATTAACTAGTTGCCATACTATCAATATGACAATACTAATAGTTAATAGGGATAAATGTGTCCAACTTTAGGTTTTATAGTCGTTGCAAAGTGGCTCCAAATTCCAAGTTATTAACATTGTCCCAGAAAGTCAAATGAGAAACTTTACACAGATCAAATAAAATAACCATATAGGAATGACTGTTTTGTTTGTTAAAGGGCCCAGATTGTGCCGCTTTTCAGCAAAAAATGAAAGTCTCACATCTCCCCAGGATGAATTTTTCAGCTGTGAATACTGCAGAGATGGAACATTTCCTCATGACTGTATAACTTCTGATTTGAGCTTTGTTCTGAGCAGGCTGTCTCAGTGGCTGTATCTGTAAAAGCAGCTGACATGCTGCTGTCCATGCCCTCCTCAGGAAGAAGACTCTGTCAGTGTCCCTTAGACCAGCACTTTCTATCGCTTCTGACTTTCTCTCCATGCGACTATTTTACTTGGAAATGTCACTGAATTTGCAACATAGCTGTTGTTTTGAAATGGTGTTTTTAAGAGTTTGTCACGCAGCCTTCTGGTTATGAAATGACTGGGAAGTGACTGCCCGCTAACATGTAGTCTTAATAGGCTGCGATCCGGTCACTATTTCATACTCTTTCTGTTGTCTAATGAAAAAAAAAGAAAGAAACGATGTAATTAAACAATGCTTCTGGGAATTTGAATGTATTAAAATGCAGTGTATGTGAGCAGAGCGCAGGAGAGAAGCAAGCAGGCCGAGCTTAGGTTGCACGAAAGCACAACAGGTGGCATGAAAACACAGTAACACATCCAGTCACTGGTATCAAATCAGCCGTATAGTTTCCACCCTCTCTGAGGAAGAGCGTGAAGACTTTTGTGTTCACTGTTGAAGCCAGCAGCAGAACATTTCCCATCCTTTGTTTATGGCTGAGACATTTTGCAGTTAAAAGCTCTACAAAGTAAATAAGCCTGGTGAACTGAGAGACAGGTGTTCGTTGTGAATGGCTCACCTGCAGGCAGCTGGCAGTGAGGGGGTAGGGTTATGCAAAGTTTGAGCTGGAAGGCTATCGTTTCCTCATCTGGAACATTGCAGTGAAATTCTTACTGGGTTTTAAAGCTGGGAGGCTTCTCAGGTAAGGGTGGGCTTCAAGAATGGCAGAAGTAATTGTCTCATATCTTAACGGCTTTTACTTTACACCTTGAGATTTATAGCAACAGCGAAACACAATAAAAATAGATTTTTGCCACACGGGACCTTTAAATTTATATATCATATCAGATTCCATACAAAAGAAAAGGACCCAAGGTATATCACTAATGCCAGGATCATATAAAAAAATCCAATATCGCTGTAAAGCAGTTCTACTTGTCGATTTGCAACACTGTCCACAATGGCCAAATACAATTAGAGATGTAAAAGGGAGAGCTATCTCTGTATAAAGGGGTAAATGCTCTGTCTCTTTGACAGCTTCCTTCTCCTCAGGCAGTATCAATTTTCTTACCATAATGTCAACAAAATTAGGTTTTTAACCAAATATATTAGTAACCTTGATGGTTACAGACATTATGCATATGCTTGACAACCCTGTATAACTTCGGCGTATTCACTGTTACACCAAATGTTCTATAAAAATTATATACATTTATAATATACATACATTATATAGTTAATATTGGCAAGGTGTCAATTAACAGGGGAAGGGTTGTAACAAACGTACACTATAGATAAGGTTCTGGTATAATTGACATTGTGACACTGCAAACTGTCAGATTTTTTGTTCTATTGTGTAAATTGCATTTATGACATGTTCACAGAGTCACAACAAAGCAATGCTATAGAAATACACCTTATAGTACAGGCTGTCACCAGACATTTTTCTGACATTCAAAACAATTGAATTACATTTAGAAATGTAAGATAAAGTAACATACAATTACAAAGACTGAATAGTAAAGGTAGGTGAGGTCAGCAGGACTTTCCTACTTTCCTTGCTTTATTAATTAGAAAGTCAGATCATATTTTTAATCTCTGTTGTTGTGTAAACAACTACAGTGTTTATTAACATCCTTTTCTGTTTATTTTTCCCTCTTCTAGCTTTACATTGACCTCACAGATCCAAGATGGACTCTTCCACAGCTTAAGCCATTCAAAAGGCCAAATGCCTCTGGCGTGGCAGTAGTGGACTTGACTGAGACCGGTGCAAACAGGACCGAACAGGAGACGGAGAATTTGCCACCAGATGATTATCAGTATAAAAAAGACGGTATTATTTTGAATCAAATTTCAAACAAGCAAGACTTGAACTTACAGAGAAGCTCTTTGAGAGACTGCAGCGTTTCTGCCCAACAGCAGGACTGTGGGAACCTTAAACCAAAGCGGAGACGTTTTCAGACGCAGCACCGAAACGAGAGCTGTGAAGCGGATACCCATAATCACACACCAGCTGTAAAGTTGACTCGATTGCCTTTCCTTGAAACTCATGTAATGGAACTGGAAAAATCAAAATGTTCTGTTCATTTAACTGACGACTGTACACAAATGTCGCTGTGCTTTAAGCAACTGAATGATAACACTGAAAGAACAGATTGCACTCATGATTCAAGGACAACTGCTGCATCAGACGCTTCTCACGTGGAGCCTTCATTCAATGAGTTGCCTAAAGTGGTTAAATCTTTGACTGGACAACAAGATAGCAGTAAGGAATATGCAAGCATGCAGTTACCAAATAATGAATCTCAGCACCGGGGGAGCTCTACTGACTCTGTTTGCTTTGAGAAAAGAAGCCCTGTTGAAACCTCCAAAGAGCACAACACCCGTGAAGAAGAGAGAGAGAGTCACTCCCCAACTTTCTCCTCTTTATCTGAGTGCAAAGCACAAAGAGAAGTCCGCTGCGCCAACCTGGAACAGCTGGAATTGAAAGCAGAATCTAGACGAACCTGTCTCTCTGCTCAGTCGTCCCCTCACTCTCTTACCAGCAGACTGAGCTCTTTGGAGCTTTTTGAGCCTGATCCTGTCTCTCACACAAGTCCTACGTCTCATAAACTAAAGAGTCAAGTCGACCCACCGTCGCCCTCTGAACTTATACCAACTGAAGGAATGCCTGATTGGCAGTTGGACAGTGAAGCGTACAAGGAGGATGTAGGAATCGCAAGTCCGGTGTCCTTCGTTTGGCAAGATGAAAGCGATGGAGAAGACATGAACGAAAAGAGCAGGAGCTTGGACTTCAGGGCAGTCAGCAGAGAGGACAGGCATTTTGTGTGTCCAGTTACACTCAGGAAATTAATGGCTGGACCAGCTCAAGCCATGGTAGGTGACTTTTCCTTAGATGCTTGCATTTGTGTTTTTCTGTTGCTCTCATTACATGTGATTTATATGCTCGGCTGAGCTCACACCATATGTCCTTTTTCTGTGATTACTGTTTTTTTTTTTTTTTATAGATGGGTGACGATGAGGAACACTTTGGAACTCCAGTGGTGCTTTGCCGTCAGAGCCTGAGCCTGGTTTACAGCACTATTGAAGAGAACTACACAGAAGGCACTTTGCAGCTCCTGTCTGACTTACTACAGCCGGGTTACTATCCCCCCAAAGATATCACCTCCCATCTACTCCGTGGCATTCTGCTCGATCCTAAGTGCTCCTACCACTTCTGTGTGCAGGCTTTTAATCTGCTCATGAGGACACAGAGGTAAGGGGACCTCAGAAATATAAGTTTGGAACAATATATTATTTTTAGAATTTTCCATTTGAATTTATAGTCTATCATTTGTATCCCATTTCCCATCTTCTCTCTTCTGTTTCCATCTTTGAACGCGGAGATTAAAGCTGCTTTTTGATTGCAGACACCATATGGCCGATATGGCTGCAGTTCCATGGGACTGGGAGTTACTGACCTCAGTCATGTCCAATCAGGTACTGCGCCAGGCAGCAAACTGTGTGAAAATAAGGGAAAACTGTGAACATCTTATTCGGAATTTCATTAAACTTCCACTTCCCTTCTTGTCACCCTCTTGCCTCGTTTGGATCGCACAGAGACATCATTATGAGGTGGTGCGCATGCTCCTGGAATATACTGTGCAGACGTTGGAGGATGACTTCCAGGCCAAAAGTTGTACATCTGCTCCTCACCACTCCATCGCGAAGGCAACATTGTCATGCGATCGGCAGTTTCCTCGGGTCAGGTGCGTTTGATAATTGAGGCCTGTATTATAAAGAAAGGTAAATTTGGACGAAGCTTAAAACATTCAGTTCATCAGGTTTGCCTGGCAAAGACTAATGCTGCCTTGTGTCACAGGAAATCGTCAGGAGCTTTGGGAAAATCTATAAGGCCACCTGCTGCTTGTCTACACAACAGGCTTTCAACATTAATAATCTTATTTAAATCTTGTCATAGTGGTTAAAGAATTGTAGAATCTGATAAAAGATATATACATTTAATGCATACAGTAACTCACATTATAAAATATGATGTATATAATTTAAAAATCCTACCTACCTACCTACCTACCCGGCCTCACCCCACCGTGTCCTCCGGAGACTGGCGACCTGTCCAGGGTGTCCCCTGCCTTCGCCCTAAGTCAGCTGGGACAGGCTCTAGCCCCCCGCGACTCTAGTGAGGATTAAGCGGTGTATAGATGATGGATGGATGGATAATTTGAAAATTCACACTGGATTGCCAAAAATATTTTTCAGTCACCATTTTTTTCTGGCTGTATATGTAAAGTCAACAGATACTCCAAACTAAATTAAGCAATATGCAAAATGACAAGAAGATAGTTATCTTTGTGCTTCATAAAGAGGGATACAGTCAGGGAGCCTTTTCTAACCGGTTTGGAATCAGTCAAAACAGCTTTCTGTTACAACCTAAAGAGAAACTGCTGCACAACTCCACCAAGAGCAGCAAACAAAGAGGCCAAAACGATTAGACAGTGGTCGAATAATTCTGTTTAAGCTGCGTATTGTTCAGTTTATGTTGAAAAAGTTGTAGTTTTGTGCAGCGACTTTAGAACAGGTTTAGTTTGCACATGTAATTGTCCTTTTTACTAACTCTTGCCTTTTATGCAACCGTGTATAACTGTAACAGTCACATCTTACATAAACTACACTGCACCTATGTTTTGCTGTTACATAATATTTTTGGCCAAAACCCCCATCTCTTTTGTGTATATAAAACTCGTAGCTGCAGGAAGTTTCTAGGTTTGCCACGCCTGTTATTTCAAATTGACAGTAAGAGGACAACTTGAACAGAACCTCAAAGTAAACTGGCTTCGTGACAGGCCCATCATGACGTATACAATAAAATATCACAAGTCGCCCCAGCACAGGGCAACAAGTAAGGAGTAATTCTCTCCCTACCTGCCTTCAACACCATGTTAGACAGCCAGTACTTGTCTATGTCACCATCTAACATATGTTGAGCTGTTTTTAAGAGGGTAGGGCTTAAAGAGGCAGGACCTAAAATACAGCGTTTCAGACAGATGGAGAAAGAAAGACGGTGCTGCAACAACTTACTGTGTTTTTTTTTTTTTTTTTAATTAAAGCCTGTAAACATATTCTAGGGGCCACCAAAAAGTAAAATTATAAATCTGTAAGTGTACATAATATGGGCTCTGTTCTTTTTTTTTCCAGGGATGTCATCAAGTGGCTGTTTAATGCCATTATAAAATCGACAGAGCACGGAGAGAGTAAAGACGCAACCAGAGAGAGGAATGAACAGATTAGGTGAGTTACAAGGAAGGAATAACAGATCTGAATGCATTTTATTATTCTGTCTGATCGTGTGCCTATCTTTGACGCATTCATGTGTTTGTGTCTTTGTCCCCTGCAGAATGGTGTCCATCTTCCAAAGGATGCTGTCTTTAGCTCTGGAGGCGGATCGTTCTCCTGCGCTGAACTCCGCCAAGCTGTCCCAGGAGCTCTTCCATATGCTCATCAGCAACATGCCTCTGCGAGCTCACAGGTGAGGAGGAGAGATAAGATGAGTGAGTGAGGTTTGTGTTCACGAGGAAGGGAACATCAGGTGTGAAAAGGGAAAAAAAAAAACTCAAATGTATAACAATTAATGCTGTTGTTACTGTTTAAAATGTTGCAAAAATAATTAATTTCTCTCTTTTTTTTATATGGACTTACATTTTTTAAAGAAGTGTGATTAATACAGAACGTGTTCTTAAAGTTAATATAATCCATGTTTTACTAGCTGTTTTAATTACACAGCTTAAATGCACATGTATTTCAGCTTTTTATTAATAGCTGATCAATGCATCAGTTGGGTTATTCATCATCAGCCACAGCAAAAATGTATATAGTTATCCCAATAGCACCATCTTCCTTCTTTTATCCTCCAGTTTTTCAAGCTGTCTCTGACCAGTCTGTTTCTGACACCCAGGATGTTATTGCTGGAGAGCCTACAGAGCAAGCTGCTGAGATGTAAGCTGTTGGAACATCTGTTGGACTATGCGTGCCCACTGAAAACCTCTCTGCCCATGTCGCTCAGTCTGCTGCTTCACTTCCTGAAGAACTGCACTTTGTCACCAGACCCTACGGTGAATTTCAGACTCTTCTCTTATCTGCAGCTTTATTTTTCCGACCGACCTCTTTTCAGATGTCGGAATATTAGAATATCAGCGTTTTGTAAATTTTTAAAACGGGGTCAACCTCTTTTTGATGTTTTCCCATTAACAATTTAGGATTATTTTTTTTAATACCATATGTTTTTATTATGTTTTGGGAGATATCAAACAATTAAAGTTAGTGACAACTGATGATGTATTCTCCAGGATGGCGATGAGAGGTGGCAGAAGTGGGAGGAGCTGGTCCATCTCCTCTGGATGTTGTTGCTCAGCTACAACAAAGCCATGAAAGGTGAGATGTTGGTACATACCTGTGCACTGCTCAACAATATTTGCAGCTGTCGTGGAGAAATTGCCTCCTATAAATTCTGTCAAATAAAGAGATGCCTGGGGGCGACGATGGGAATTTGTGTCAGAATGATGAAATAAATGCTTTTTTCTACACAACATTATCAGCTCGCTTGTATTCAGCACACATTTTAATAAATACATACAGGGGCACACCATCTATTAGAATCGAAACCAAACTCTTTACTGATGGGACAAGCTTGCCAGTGGTCTGCTGCCAGGAAGCAGATAGAGAGTGCTTGAAACCTGTGGGACACCTCAGACTCCAGTGAGTGTGCAATGTGTGGTGTGTGATGCCATATGAGATTGTGCTCAACTGTTCTGTCTGAGTCTTGTTTGTACAGTAAGTGGGTGAAAGTGAAATTTATATTTAGGTTATAAAGATCAAACAAGCTTCAGTTGCTTCATAGCCTCATTAAATGTCTTTCCCTCTCTGCTGTCTTATGTCGTTTTTCCCACACATTTCTGTCCTCGGATCATCTACACTTACTACTGTCTCCTGCTAAATATCTTTTTTTTGTTCTACTACATGCTTTATTTTTATGTGTCAACTGTAGGAAGATGTTTACTGTTTTAAAATGTGATATTTGACATTTAAATGCTCACCCAATAAATGCCTTTAAGCATATGTTACCTTTCTGATACCTGCTTTACCACACTCCTGAATATCAAAATCTTTTGTTACATCATTAATGAAATTACTTGACTCTGACAAGTTCATTGCAGTTAACTCTGAGCTGATATTATCTGTTATCCACAGGCTGCCTGTCCAGGTCATTCACTGAGCAGAGAGGCAGCGTTGGCGCGTTAGTGTACAGACCAGACGACATGATATCAAAGCAGGCCGTCTGCGAAGCCGTGGAGACCTTCTTGTCCAGATCCCAGGCTGACATCGGCCAAGCTTTACCTCTACATGTGGAAGAGTCTTTAACGTATCTACAGGATCACCTCGTGGATGTTTGTCAGTGTTGAATACAATAAAATTCTTTGTTTTGTTGTTTTTTATTGGTGCTCTGTTTTAAAAAATAATAATTTAGATGAGGTATGAAACATTGTATTTGCTACCATGTTCTTTTGTATAAGTTTATTTGTACAGTTTTAAATGAGGCTGTGTTTTGATTTGCCTAATATAAAGTCAAAACTGAATAAAATCTCACTTTATAAAATTACGCATTGTCTTTAGCAAATAAAATGACATGTCAGATTGTCATTATAGTGTTTTTCCACCACACACGTGCAACCATTACATCATTACTTTAAATAATTACAAAGCGTTTGGAAAACTACTCACTCTGCTAAGTCTGCATGATTTTAAATGAAGCCGCAGCAAACTGGTCTTTAGTGTTTTAAACATCTTATCTAATGGTCAAACGCTCGCCACTCGAGGATTTTATTTACTGTGGTTCAACAGCTGGTTGGACCTTCTCCACGCTGACCAATAGGAGGAGGCGCTGTTATCGGCAGAGAAAAAAAAATCCTTACAGTCGCCATGATACAGCAGCGGAAACGGGTGAGAAGTAGCTAGAAAACAAAAGAGAACACGCAGTCGTCCTCGCGATTTGGTATGCTCTTGCAGGTAAAGATGGGATCCTTTCTGCTACACTTGGTTTATTTCCACTCATCTCGTTTCAATCTTTTGTGAACGTTGAAAGCGCTGTCGTCATTTTCCGAAGTAGGACTTATTCGGATAGGAAGTCGGTCAGCTTCAAATAATTGGGGCTCTGTTAGCTGTTAGCTAGCGAGCTAACCCGAGCTAAGCTAAATAGCTCGCAATTGCTTGCAAGTCCAGCATTGTGGGGCTTTGTGTGTGCTCGGCTGCTCACTATTTATCTCCGTGATAGTGATTCCTGCTACTAGACGCTAGCTAGCTAGCGGCTAACTAATGCGTTGTTTCGTGGCCTAGTGTTTATGCGCAACTCAGTGCTTTGCTATTATGTAAACAACAATTGCACAGTATCTTTTAATATAACTTAGCTCAGCACGTTTGGGAAGAACGTTAAGGTCGACTAATTGGTAAATTCCACCAACTTAATGTGTCTTTTCCGTCTTGCTAGTTAGCAAGCGAGCTAGTTAGTTATGTAGCGTTTGTTATGTATAGTTCGATAGCAGGCTATTTAGGTTAAGCTAGGCTAATCAGTTAGCGACCATGAGAAGAAAAATCGGCTAACCTAGCTATTTTTACTACAAAATTTAAAATGCACTTTATTAATTGTGCTATGTAAAGCGCCACATAGTTGTTAACAACCCAGTTTTCCAAGTTTAGTATGACAGTTATTGTACTACAATGTTGAGTTTTACGTTAACTTATGTAACCACAATGAAATCACGGTCTCCATAGGAAGCTGAAGAAATGCAAAGTGTATTGCTTGATAAACGATCGATGAAAACGTATGACTTTATTTATATCTTTATCAAAAGCGTGCCACTTTTGATAGTTTGGATTAGCTTAAATTGTCGCTGTCACTTTTAAATGTGCTAAGTTGGTTGCTTAAGACTGTCAGTGCAGATACGGTTACCTGATGAGCTCGACACTTCACCTCTTACCTAATTAGGAAAATGACAATCTTAGTTTCAGGCCTCGCTTATGTATTCGTATTTATTCTTTAGACCCTTCGTTTTTTAATGGCACGTTAAGTCCAGATTTTCTCTTTAGTGTTATAGGAATGCCCAAGGAAAAATATGACCCGCCGGATCCCAGGCGGATGTACACAATTATGTCCAGCGAGGAGGCAGCCAATGGGAAGAAGTCATACTGGGCTGAGCTGGAAATCAGTGGTGAGTATTGTTAGGGACTTTCTGCTTTTGTAGGTAAAGCCGTGATATTGACTTTGCACTGCTCACACACATCTGTTGATGCTGGGGAAGAGTTGAGTCAAATTAAACAGTTTTCCAAAATTAAAATGCAATTTCTCTATATTGACAGTTTTAGGCACAGCTAATCACTAGATTGTCATTGTTCAAGAAAGATAATTTGAGATGTAGTTATAAAGTCTCTAGCTTAAAATGATTTTGTCTGTCTATCTGGGAAAATATTGCAGCCCAGAAATGATGCTCAAGCATCATCTTTATAATTCTGGAATCAGCTAATCTGTATTGACCCATTCAGCCCAGTTATTTCCATGTTTTTTTCATTTGGTGCAAAGGGAGTTGGATTCTGCTGCTAACATACTTTCCCCCCCGTGACTATAGGCCGAGTAAGGAGTCTCAGCACAGCCCTGTGGTCTCTCACCCACCTCACTGCCCTGCACCTCAGTGACAACTCACTGTCACGCATCCCGCCAGACATTGCCAAACTACACAACCTGGTGTACCTGGATCTCTCATCCAATAAGATCAGGAGCCTGCCGGCAGAGCTCGGCAACATGGTGTCTCTCAGGTTAGTTATTTCAGAGTATTAGTTTACCCCTAAATTTAGCCACAACAAAAAGGAGTGTCACAGAATTCTGAATTCATTTGGGAAATCTCATTTACCATAGATTCACAGGATGTCTGCTCATTTTTTTCTTGTGTTCTATTATTTTCATGTCTCATTTATTTATTTTTTTCTAATTTAATATAAAAAGCCGCATTAAAAATCAATCTCAAGTTGGCAAGCATTTTTTAACATTCTTGATTTAAGCAGTGTGATAAAAAATGTTTCTGAAAAGTAGCTATGATGGTGGTTTCTCAGGAGGGCAGGTTTGTAATGATCCAATTCCCATCTGTCCTCCACAGGGAACTGCTTTTAAATAACAACCAGTTGCGGGTTCTGCCATTTGAATTGGGGAAACTGTTTCAGTTACAAACACTGGGGTTGAAAGGTGAGTGGCTCATCAATGTTTTTTTGTGGCCATTCTACCCCTAAAATCCTGTTTTCTTGTGTTGATTCAACCCAATTGGCTTTTCCTTTACCAGGAAACCCACTTGCACAAGAAATTATGAGCCTCTACCAGGAACCTGATGGCACGCGAAGACTGCTCAGCTATTTGTTAGACAATCTGGCGGGTGCTATCAAGCGCAGTGAGTCTCTCCACCCCCCTTACTGCTGTTGTAGGACCGGAACAAGAATTGTATATTGCCTTATTGTTGGTGTTAGTTGCCCAAAGTTAGGCTAATCAGTATATAAGGATAGAACCATTGTGAATCCAACAATTTATATGCTGGTAGCTTCTTTAAAGTTGCTGTGTGACACCTGCATTTATGATGGCACGCATATTCAACCATTTTCTCTCTGCTCAGTACCAACAGAGCAGCCCCCAGCCCGGTCATGGATCTCACTTCAGGAACCAGACCGAACACGGCCCTCAGGTAAGGATAACATACATAAAACACGACTTTGAACAGGTGCATGCAAAGGATTTTTCCATTGTGGAGGGGTGAATTGCAGAGTGCTGTGATAAGTCCAGCCATGCGGGCTTGATGCAAATGCTTTTCCACCACACCTCACAGAAAGGTAATGTTGTTGACCCGAACCGCTTTTGAAGCACTGCTCCTATAAATGCATTATATTTCCTTTAACATCTCACAATAATAGCATTCAGTTGGCTTGTTGGTGGAAAGCTTTTAGTGCAAAGCAGCTAGAAAAGTTCACTTTATATAAGCAGTAACTTTTAACACAGCTCTGATGTGGCGAAACAGGATAAGAAAACAGTGAAATAAGGTTGACATGTGAATGTACAAACAGGAAAACGAGTGACTCTCAACTCCAAACTACAGAGGTTCAGGTAGAAGGCACAGATATTCTGAGAACTAAACCCAGAGAGAGTATACAGAGATTTCTCTCTAGTCTCCAGCATAGTTAAGCCGCTGAGGGAATGGAAGGATACTGGCAGGGTTTGGGCCACGGTCAGCTCTGCTCCCCAGCAGGACCACATCAGCCCGGCTCAGCATGGCTATCCTGTGCTGTGAGGTTGAAGTTGAATTAGTGTGGCTCAATATGGATTTAGCTTATGCCTCCGAAAAATAACTGTCAGCCATAAAAATCAGTTGTTTGGGGCGGTATTGCCAAACTGCCGATACGAGTGTGTGTTCTGACAGTAGTAAGGGTTCAAAACTGTTTTTGTGTGGACTGGGCTTAAGCCTAAAGCAATACTTCTAACACATGTATATTGCATATACACATTTCCTGTGGTTGAACTGGAGCAAAACAATCTTATCAAAACATTTTCTTTCTAAAAGAGCCACAGATGTCAAGAAAATCTACAGTATTCCTCAGTTTCCCATGGGCTAAGCATGTACTTGTGGTGATTGACCCTGTTGGGGGTGGCTGTAACATTTTGACTGACTCTGTGTTGTTTACATTTGCAGATTATTGTATCACTGGAGTGCAGCTGTTAACAAGGCTTTATGTCAAATTGTACTTCAAGGCAGAGATTTTGTAGAATATTTTTTTCTATGTATAGACGGGAGAACTAATACAGCAGAGAGTTAAGTTTTATTTTATTTGCGTAGTTTAAGGCTAGTAATTGAATAAGTGCATAAGTCTCTCTCCACCTCTTAAGAATATTGAGGAAACCAAAAAGAACAAAATGTATTAACTTCTGTATTTCCTCTGTCTGTTTCTTCCCTCAGCACTGTTCTCAGTGATGTGCTACAATGTGCTGTGTGATAAGTATGCCACACGACAGCTATATGGCTACTGCCCCTCTTGGGCTCTAAACTGGGAGTACAGGAAGAAATCCATCATGCAGGAGATCCTGGGTTGTAACGCTGACATCATCAGTTTGCAGGTGAGGGATGTCAAAGCATGTGTGAGGGTTTAAAAAAAAAATGTATCAATGCAGACCCCATAAGAATTGAAAAAAAACAAACAAAAGTGGTTTGTGGCTGGTAGAGGGACGTTTCTGACCACACATCAAGTGATTACACCGAAATCAACTACTGCAAACTATTATGCAATCCAGTAACACTGCAATAAATGCTCCCTTTGTAAAGCATTATGTTCAGTGTTGACACTCACTGAACCGTAACACCATTTTCTTAATTTCCTTGAAAGGGCCCAGATTTTTCACACTTTACGTAAGGAACTGATTATCGCTAGGCATTGATCAATTATTGGTCAGAACAGTGTGGATCTGTAAGGAATGAATGGTTTGTTAAATAAAATCAAACAAACCTTAATGGGGGGAACAAAATAGATTTATTTTTTTTACACGGAATGAAACTCAGCAGAGCAAAAAAGACAATCCAG